TGCTGGCTGGTGTTATAGCCTTTATCGACTCATGCTGCTTTAGTATCATACATATCATAGAATCACTGAATCAGTAAAGAAGGCACATTCTCCCCTCTCTCTTCCTTCTCCACTTTCGTACTCTGCTACAAGTTCTTTCTTGAATTCTATAGTCTTTCTCACCTTCTTTACCAAAGGGCTTGGAGTTAATGCAGAATGAAGCTCTCAGAATTATTCTTGGGTGTCCCAGATCTACAAAGGTTCTTAATATGAGGAAGGAGCTTGGTATTTCTAGTATCAGTGATAGGATTGTTGAAATTAACACTGTACTCGGTATTAGAATGTTGAGAAACGAACCAGACACTGTCACAGTGAATCTTACCAAGTGTCTAGAGGTAAATACACACAGATCTAAATGGATTGTGAAAACGTGCAATTGCATTAAGTTTTATAACTTGCATGAACTGGATCACTGTAGGCAACAAGAGCATTTCACCCCTCCATGGAAGATGTGTTCATTTAATATCACATACCTACAAGTCCCTCCCAAGAAGCCCATTGCTAGTAATCCCTTCCTTAAATCACTTGTTAAAGCAACTGCTCAAGAAGAAATTTCTCACCTAGCTGGTAGTAATAAGTTATCACAAGTTATACACACTGATGGATCTAAACAGGAGTCTTCTGGCAGGGCTGCATCTGCTCTTGTTGCCACCTCCCTAGTTAAGAACGATAATAAATTTGTTGAGTTAGGCATAAGAATTAACAACTGGGCATCTACACTGCAAACTGAATTGTTTGCAATCCTAATGGCGCTAAAGCTAACCTATGACACTGAGCTTGACTCTATCATCATTACTGATTCTATATCATCATTGAAGGCTCTTGGCTCATATAATGACTCCAATAACATGCTCATTGGAGAAGCCAGGTATAGATACTAAAAAATCAGGGACAAAGGAATTAATGTACAATTGCTATGGATCCCATCACACATTGGATTACTCCTTCATGATAAAGTTGATATGTTAGCCAAGAAGAGTACCCAGAAGGAGAATGTAGAATACAACTTTGGTATAACTGTGTCTAGCATTAGGAATAATATTAGGAGAGAAGTAAATAATGAAAATGATTGTTATAGGAATGCAATTAGAAGCCTGAGTAGATCTATAACCCACTATGCTAACATGAACGTAGATAAGTATGTTTATGGAGCAACTTGCAATGTGAACAGACTGACTGATGTTGTAGTTGCCAGGCTTAGGCTTGGTTACAAGTACTTCTGGCAGTTTGGGAGACACACAGATGATGATCAAACTAAATGTGAATTATGTGATCAGGCATATGGTCACTGTCTTGAACACTATGTGCTTAATTGTCCACTTATTGAGGAATACAGAGACAGACAGTATAATAACCTATGTGACATGTCAAGATATCTTATTAATGAAAATAAGATACCAGATATACTAAGCAAATTTCCTAAATTTGTAACCGATAAATGAACTGTAGAAATGTAGATATAAGTCCATATGTACACCTGTTAACCCTTTTGGGTCCTAGTTCCTAGGCCTTTTGTGTATCCATATGCTCTTGCGCTACCGTCCACAGGATGGATATGGGGTACACAATAAACTAGCCACTTCGGTGGCAAAATCTAAAATCTATCTTATGATTGTTCATGGTTCAATAGTTTTCGGAAGCAGTATTGTTAAGCTAAGTAAATGCCATTATTATATTTCCCAACAATATATTTGGGCACCAAACATTCGCGATTTTTCAGCATTCGCAAGGTTCTTGATCCCCTAACCCTCACAAATGTGGAGGGAGACCTGTACAAGCATTGTACTTCTTGCCTCCAGGACTCAAATCCAGCTAACCAGTTTTCTTGAATCCCTTCACAAAATATTACCCTGCTCACATTCTAACAGCTCGTCAGGTCCCAAAAAACATTCTTCCCCATTCACTCCTATCCAACATTGTCACATATGCCTACTGTATGTCCAAGCCCCTTTCACACAAAACCTCTTTCACCCCCTCCCTCCATCCTTTCCTAGGGCCACCCCTACCCCTCATTTCCTCCATTATAGATTTATACACCCTCCAAGTCATTCTATTTTGCTCCATCCTCTCTAATGACCAAACCACCTCAGTAACCCCTCTTCAGCCCTCTGAACATTACTTTTAGTACCTCCACTCCTCCTAATTTCCACACTGAATTCTCTGCATAATATTTGCACCACACACATATATATGACACCTTACATATGACATCTCCACTGCCTCCAGCCACCTCCTCACTGCAGCATTCACAACCCATGCTTCACTCTCATGTAGAGTGTGGGTACCACTATAGTACTCTCATACATTCCCTTCTGTGCCTCCTTAGATAGTGTTTTTTGTCTCCATGGATAACTCAGCACACCATTCACCTTTTTTCCTTCTTCCATACTCCCTCCCTCCAATGTGATATCCAGTTTTTCTTTACCTAACTTGCTTGATACCCTCATCACCTTACTTTTATCTGTGTTCACTTCAACTTTCTTTTCACACCCTCTCAAACTCGTCCACTAACCTTTGCAACATGATTGATTATAAAGTAAGATGAATATTTATGTTAGCACTAGAGAGCCCATTATTTCTGCTGCCTGTCACCTGTTGTTTTGTCTAACCACTCGACTGTGATGTATCTGGGACTCTCAGTGGTTGTTGATCATAAAGAGCAAGCATGGTGATCAGGGGTCAAGGAGATGTTAATGAACAAAGAGTATATGTGAGGTCTTCTTTAGGGTATAGAGAAGTTAGTGTCAGTGTGAGTAAAGAAGACTAAAGTCACAGTACCACAGCTGGAACCACTCATAATACACCTCACTTAGGGGAGGAAAGGTATGACCGTATTTAGCTCGTCACAATAACTTGTGATTTGAGGTTCAGAGTGGACAAAAATGTTGTCACAATTTTCTAAAGTGTGGGTTATTTGTGAACCATTGTTGTCAAGTCTAGGCGCATCTCGGGATATCTCAACCTGGGTATGCAGACCTACACAGCAGAAACACTTCAGTTGGTGTTGTCACATTTCTGATTAAAAGTTTGGTATGATACATTATAATGAGGTTGTCTGTGAATGTTACACCTGTTTGGAGCTATGACAGTAGAGTTGTGTACACAGTGTAGTTATGACAGTAGAGTTTTGTACATAGTGTAGATTTGACAGTAACTGTAGAAAATTATTCCTTTCGTATGCCTTCACTCAGAGCATCATTCCCTCTTAAAATAGTGTGTTGCATGAGAATGGGAGTGTTGTTGTTATTTATTCTGCTGAAGACAACCTGTACACAATGTAAGGTGTTTGTATTGAGGTAAAAGTTTCATAAACGTATGTGGAATGAAACATGAATGAACCAAAATTGCACAGGTATTAATACGCATTCGTGTTTGTTTACATTCTCACTGTCTCTTTTATGATGGCATCTAAGAGTAAACAAACCATACCACAGGTGGGGTTTGAACCTGTGATCAGAGAGTCTCAAAACTCCAGACCGTCGCATTAGCCACTGGGCCAGCTGGCTTCAATAAGATTCATCCAACTAGGTATATTTCTACACCACAGGAAGGTTAGCATAGGCACCACTGTGACCACAAATGCAAAATTTTAAAGACGAATCTCCCGCTAGCATGGCCGTGACAAACTCTAGCTCAAGTCCCCTCAAAGCCGTCAACATGACTCGCAAAATCGTAATGACACGATTTATTTATTTTATTTATTTATTTATTTATTTATTTATTTATTTATTTAATGTCTTTGCAAACAGTACATTGAGATTGTGTATATACAATAGTGGGTTGCAATGCAAAGAGAACCTCTATTATGCCTAGGCATTATGGACCAACTTAACATTATTGGCTTACATTCTACTTAATACTAAGGACTAGTATATCATAGTTGTACAGTAGGAAAGTTATTATTTCATAGTTGTACAGTAGAATATTAATTATAAATGAATCAAAATTTGTATAATACAAAGATATACGTATTTATATTCTAAAATGCTTTTGTGAAAAACAATGATTCAATTATATTCCTGTCAACGATGGATAAAAGGTTCAATGTGATTGTTTCAGTTATGATGTGAGAGTACATAGGTGAGTAAATGTGTGCAAACAAACCATACCACGGGTGGGGTTTAAACCCGCAATCAGAGAGTCTCAAAACTCCAGACCATCGCGTTAGCCACTGGGCCAGCTAGCTTCAATAAGATTCATCCAACTAGGTATATTTCTTGAAAAACTTGCATTTGTGGTCACAATGGTGCCTATGCTAACCTTCCTATGGTGTAGAAGTATACCTAGTTGGATGAATCTTTTTGAAGCTAGCTAGCCCAGTGGTTAACATGACGGTCTGGAGTTTTGAGACACTCTGATCGTGGGTTCAAACCCCACCTGTGGTATGGTTTGTTTGCTATCATGTCATTACAATTTCATGAGTCATCTAAGAGTAGTTGTCAGAAATGATTAAACAAACAAGGAAATAAGGAATGTCAATGGTAATAATAATAATAATAATAATAATAATAATAATAATAATAATAATACTAATAATAATAATAATTGCTCTGGGGCACTTTAAATTTAAGTTGTATATTTCATGTGGGTACCGTACCTGGTGTATAGAAGGCACCACACCTGACTTTCTACAGTAATACTCACCTCTCACTATACATTAGCACTACACATATTTTAAGGTAAGTAATGAGTATACTGTATGTGTATTTTACTTTTTATTGTTTTTAATGCCTAGTTCTATTGCTAACTTAATATATGTTAGTGTAAACTTGTTAACTGCATTTATATGCATTTGTAAGTAGAGAAAATGGGTGTTCTGCTTTACAGTGGTAGCCTGGAACCTAACCTGCCATATAATTGGGGCCCTACTGTATAGTTTATGAACATTTACAGGGTGTGAGTAATGCAATTGGGTTGTTCTTCAGGTAATATATAGTTTACAAACATATACATACTTACAGGGTGTAAGCAATGTATTTGGGTCATTCTTCGGGTGTGCCCCCATATCTGCATCACTCTCTCGCTCATTAATTCAAGAAACAATGGGTGGTGTGACACAGATCACCTCTTACGTCTCCTGCTGCCTCCTCCTCATCATCATGCTCTTCATTGGTCCAGCCTTTGAAACTCTCCCAAATGTGAGTATTTTATCTTCATGCCAGAGTCACTGTGATACAACTCTAATTTTTTTTTTTTTTCAACTGCCATCTCCCACTGAGGCAGGGTAACCTCAAAAGAAAATTAATATTCACCATCCCTTATTCAGTGCTGTCTTGCCTTACGTGTGCTGACATTATAATTGGTTTATGCCCTGATTGCAACATCTTTACTTCTTTAGAGTGCAGGCACTTTCCCTCTGACGTCCAAGACTCATGTCTGGAAGTAAGAGAATTACTCTGAATTTCTTCATAATTGTAACCTTGCTCACAGTTCAACAGCACATTATAGTCTCTACCAGTAGCGGCTCATGTATAGGCACTGTGGAACTGCAGCACCCCCTATTTTCATTCAGTGTTATTGATAACATTTGATATAATGAGTCTTTTTTTTCTTTAATTCTTTCTTTATACTTGTACATTATATAATCCTTAAGCTTAATGTCAGTAGCCATCCCCTAGTACATGAAAAAATTACAAAAATCCATGTATGGAACTGTGTTCTTTGCAGTTCCAGTGACTTGGTGTTTGGCTGTTGTGAGCATGCACACATGTCCAAGATAAGACACTGCATGCTAGGTAGAGACAGCACTGTCGCTGATGCTGTGCTGACCCTGTTGTGCAAGTGTTAGGTAGTGTTTCTTTTTGACTCGGCAACATGTGTTGTGCATAAAAACCATGTACCATATTCTTGAATGTGATAAAGTGTAGAATTAGGTGAGTATCATGCTTCTTGCTATTTTATATGCTTGTTTTATTGTACACAATACAGTGGACCCTCATTTTTCGTAATTAATCCGTTCCAGGAAGTGTGACTATTTTTTGAAATTGACGATTTTCGAATCCATTTTCCCCATAAGAAATAATGTAAGTACAATTAATCCGTTCCAGACACCCAGAAGTATTAAAACAAGAATTTTTTTTACATGAAATATAGATGTAGTACATAAACAATACAGTGGGACATGATGAATGAAACATTAACAGCATAACACTTACCTTTATTGGCGATTCTTCTTAGTGTATGGAAGACTGGAGGAGGGGAGAGATAGGATTAATTTACTGTTTGGAAGGGGAATCCCCTTCCATCAATACCTCAGGTACCAAGTTCTTTCCTGGGGATACTTCTCTTCTCTGTTTCTTAATGCCACTAGGACCAGCTTGAGAGTCACTGGAGCCCTGTCTCGCAAAAAAAGTATCCAGACAGCTCTGTTTCTGGTGTCTCTTTAAAACTCCCCTAAAATGGGCCAAGACTTTGTCACTGTACAAGTTGCTGATATGGCTTGCAACAGCCTTGTCAGGGTGATGTTTCTCCATAAATCTTTCCATCCTACCCCACATTTCAAAAATCTCCTTAATTTCTGAAGAAGGCACTTTCTTGAATCTCTCTTCCTCTTCCTCTGCAGCAGTATTCTGAGCTGCAGTCTGTTGCTGTTCCAGCTGAAGCTCTTGCAGCTCCTCAGTGGTTAGCTCTTCGTTGTGGTCTTCCACCAACTCTTCCACATCCTTCAAACTCACATCCAACCCCATGGAACTCCCCAATACCACAGTAGATTCCACAACTGCCATAGGCTTGTCAGGGTCAGCCCCAAACCCTTCAAAATCCCTCTTGTGGACACAATCTGGCCACAATTTTCTCCAAGCAGAGTTCAAAGTCCTGGTAGTCACTCCCTCCCAAGCCTTACCTGTAAGACTTATGCAGTGGAGGATACTGAAGTGATCTTTACAAAACTCTCTTAGGGTCAAGTGAGTGTTTTTGAGGTCACATTAGGGCACTTTTGAAACATTGCTTTGGTGTAGAGTTTTTTAAAGTTTGAAATGATCTGCTGGTCCATGGGCTGGAGGAGAGGACTGGTATTAGGGGGCAAGAACTTTACTGTGATGAACCCAAACTCCTCCAGAATTAAGTCATCCAAGTTTGGAGGATGATCAGGTGCATTGTCCATTAACAGGAGGAGACACTTGAGATCCAATTTATTTTCCAGGAGGCAATTCTTCACACTGGGGCCAAACACTTCATTGAACCACTTGACGAAAATTTCCCTCGTGACCCATGCCTTATTATTAGCTTTCCAAAATACACACAATTTACTCTTCATAACATTGTTTTTCTTGAATGCTCTGGGATTTTCATAATGGTACACTAGTAACGGCTTCACTTTGAAATCCCCACTAGCATTATTACAAAACATGAGCGTCAGCCTGTCTTTCATAGGCTTGTGTCCAAAAGAGGCCTGTTTCGTCACAATTGAACACTTGTTCAGGTTTTAATTGTTCAGTCTGTATATACTCCTTGAATTCACTTACGAATTTTGTAGCTGCAATTTAGTCCAAACTGGCAGCCTCACCATGCCTTATCACACTGTGTATGCCACTACGGTTTTTAAATCTCTCAAACCAGCCTTTGCTGGCCTTAAATTCACAAATATCAGTACTCGTTGCAGGCAATTTCTTTACAAGATCATCATGCAACTGCATAGCCTTTTCACAAATAAGCGACTGCATAAGACTATCTCCTGCTAATTGTTTTTTGTTTATCCACACCAATAATAACTTCTCAACATCTTCGAGTACTGGTGATCTCAGTTTTGTCAGCATATTTACCCCCTTTGCAACAACAGCTTCCTTGATTTCCTTTTTCTTGGTCACGATGGAAGCTATGGTTGTATGGGGTTTCTTGTACATCCTGGCCAGTTCAGCCACACATACGCCACTTTCATATTGTTCAGTGATGTTTTTCTTGAATTCAATCATATTTCTCATCTTCTTTACCAAAGGCCTGGCACTAGGAGCTTTCTTTGGAGCCATGGTAGCTTATTTAGCAGTTGCAAACTCGTTTGAACAAGTGAGGGGATCATCACTCACTGGTAAACAATGCCACACTGTTAGGTAAGACACATATGCAACAGTTAGATATCTTTATTTCGAAACGTTTCGCCTACACAGTAGGCTTCTTCAGTCGAGTACAGAAAAGTTGAAGGAAGCAGAAGATACTTGAAGATGATGTAATCAGTCCATCACCCTTAAAGTTTTGAGGTGGTCAGTCCCTCAGTCTGGAGAAGAGCATTGTTCCATAGTATGAAATAAAGATATCTAACTGTTGCATATGTGTCTTACCTAACAACCTGTCGGTATTTTATACCTTTTTAATGTTCAATGTCACAGTGGCTGGGAAGGGAGGGCGAGGGGGCTCGGAGCCATGTGTACGCATCTGGGACGAACGACTATTTGCGAGTCAAATGACGATTTGGGAGTCAATGTTTTGGCGAAAATAACGTTACGATTTTTGAAAATTACGACTTTCGAGCCTTACGATTATTGAGGGTCCACTGTATTAAAACAATGGCTAAAAATTTTCTGAAGCAGCACTTCCACTAATTTTAGCTACGAGCTGCCACTGGTCTCTTCTCACTCCTGTCTAACATGCTAACACAAGCCTGCTGGATTCTCAAGCCCCTACAACTCAAAGCCTCCTGTACCCCCTGTTACAAAAAGCATCTTCTAAAACAGACATGCCCAGAGCAAACTAGAGGGTTAACTAATTGGTCCCTTTCTAGCTGCTGGCCTGTTTCTGGTTTCGTAACAAGAGGTTGGATTATATTTCAGTTATCCAGGCTACACTATAGCCCTCTTCAGTATTAACGTGGTATATATACGCCACTGTTTCTGACGTATTTATACGCATAAATTCTAGCAGCTTCAAATCAAGCAGGAGAAAGCTGGTAGGCCCACACATGAGAGAATGGGTCTCCATCGTCAGTGTGCACCATATAAAAAAAATCGGGGAGCCAGTGGTGCATTGTGGGAATGCCATTTCAGTCATCCTTTTTCAGCATGCTTAGGTAAGAAATATGTGACTCCCCAGCAAATCTGGGACTCTTCTCTTCCCAAGTGATGCTCTAACACAGATGGAAGTGTCAGTGAAGATCAATTTCATGATTTCCAGGAGTTTGAGACCAAAAGCAATGGAGGAGGAGGAGGAAGAAGAGGAGGAGGAGGAAGAGGAGGAGGAGGAGGAGGAGGAGGAGGAAGAGGAGGAGGAAGAGGAGGAGGAGGAGGAGAGGAGGAGGAGGAGGAGGAGGAGGAGATAGAGGAGGAGGAGGAGGAAGAGGAGGAGAAAGGAGAGGAGGAGAAGAGGAGGAAAGATAGGAAGAAGAGGAAGAAGAAGAAGATGTAATAATTTTGTTCCCTTGAAGCAAGAAAAAAAAAAGTCCACCCCATGACAGTGAGGAGATAAGGGGAGATAACACCTGATAAGAGCTGAAGTTTGATGAGCATAAACGAGGGTGGAGGGAGGGTGCAGCTGATAAGAAAAGATTAGATGACCATCGCCCTCCCTTTGTTTTTGCTGGTACACAAACATTTCTGTCTGTCTATTTGTCTGTCTGCCAACCTCCCTGTCTATCCTTCTAGCTCTCTGTCTCAGAGAGAGCCACAAGACTGTGTCATCATCACATTTACTCACATCTTCAAGCAGAGTATAGCACTTTGGATTTTTTGGGTTTTCCTAGGTAATTTACACTATGTATACTTGTATTTATGTGTACCTGTGAGACAGAGATAGACAGACAGATAGAAAGAGAGAGACAGATTGAAAGAGATAGAATGAGGGAGAAAGATAATTAGATAGAATGGAGGGGAAGCAGCATCTGACCCCATTGTTTTGACAGGCGGTAGGGGGAGTAAGTAATGAGATAATATGTCATTTTGACAGCTGCTGACTCCTGACTCAAAACAGTTATAAGCCACACACTCGCACACAAGACAAGCTTGCTGAATGAAGATAATAGAAACCATACCCCGGCCGGGATTGAACCTGCGGTCAGAGAGTCTCAAAACTCCAGCCTGTCGCAATGGGCTGGAGTTTTGAGACTCTCTGACCGCAGGTTCAATCCCGGCCGGGGTATGGTTTGTTTGCAATCGTGTCATTACGATTTCGTGAGTCAGAAGATAATAGCAGTTATATGAAAGTATCTAGTGAC